TCCCTGGCCCAGCTGATGTTAATGTCTCACTGAGTCTCCCTTTCCCTTGCAGGGCGGATTCGGTGGCTTGGAACCCCCACAAGATGCTGATGACGGGTTTGCAGTGCTCTGCCTTCCTGCTTCGAGATAGCTCCGTAGGTTTTCGCCGCCATTCCCTCCCCTAAAAAGAAAAGGAGTACTTGGGGCACCTTAGAGACTAACCAATTTATTTGAGCATCAGCTTTCATGAGCTACAGCTCACCTCATCGGGTGCATACTGTGGAAAATACAGAAGATGTTCTTATACATACAAACCATGAAAATAAACACCCATTTTTTCATGGTTTGTATGTATAAGAACATCTTCTGTATTTTCCACAGTATGCATCCGATGAAGTGAGCTGTAGCTCACAAAAGCTGATGCTCAAATAAATTGGTTAATCTCTAAGGTGCCACAAGTACTCCTTTTCTTTTTGCGAATACAGACTAACACGGCTGTTACTCTGATTCCCTCCCCTGCAGAGGCAGGCAATTATAACCCCGCTGTGATGGATGCAGCTTATGTTCTGCTCTCTACAGTGTCTCCTGCTGGAAGAGGCTGGAAATGAAGTGACAGGGAGCTCCCCCGCAGCCAATAGTCCTGCCCCATTCCCTACAGTGCCCCCTGCTGGGAGAGGCTGGGACTGGAGTAGCTGGGCACTCCCCTTCAGCCAGTGCTCCTACCCCACTCCCTGCAGCACCCCCTGCTGGGTGTTGTTGGAAGTGGAGTTTATGTGACCATGTAGAGCCAATCCAGCTCCCTCAGTGCTCTCTTGCTGGCCTGGATAGCCCATGCTTTGTCCCTGCCTTCCCATGGGGCCCTGGTCGGGACATGCTGATGTGTTTGCCGGACCCTCCCATTTCAGGGCCTGCTGCAGAGGTGCCACTGCGCCAACGCCACCTACCTCTTCCAGACCGACAAGTTCTATGACATGGCCTACGACACGGGAGACAAGACCATCCAGTGTGGCCGCAAGGTGGACTGCCTCAAGCTGTGGCTGATGTGGAAGGCCAATGGGACCGAGGGGCTGGAGAAGCGAGTGGACAGGGCCTTCGAGTTCACTAGGTATGGGGTGGGGGATACAGGTGTACCCCTGACCCCAAGAGGTGCTCTAGTGATGCCCCATGATCCTTACAGATGGATGTTGTCTCTAGCTCACGATTGCTTTATGCCCACCACAAAGATCAATGATGTGCTCTTCATCCTCTCTAGGTACCTGGCTGATGAAATAAAGAAAAGGGAAGGTTTCCAGCTGGTGATAGAGGTATGGGCCATCTGGAGCCATTGCTACACCATGGCTCATCCGGAGCTTGTCGTTTTCCAAGGGAGCGGGGAGAGTGTATCATGGATTCCCAAAGCCCTTATTGATGGGTGGGCGGGCAGCAGCTATTTAACCTTTTTTATGTGAGTTTACCAGCAATGAAATCCAATCTCCCTGGGTGTTCCTAGAGCCATAAGCAAGGGGGGAGCAGGCTTGGATCCTGTCCAGGCTCCAGAGGCTGCACCTCCATTAGCTGAGGTTTCAGGGTGCTCGGGTTGTTTACTTACAGAGATCCCTGCTGGTGACCCCTTCTCCTTTACCTCCCCCAGCCTGAGTTCGTCAATCTGTGTTTCTGGTTTGTGCCGCCCAGCCTCCAGGGCAAGCAGGGCTGTGCTGATTACTGGGAGAGACTGGGAAAGGTGAGTGCAGGGAATGCTGGGAGTGGGCTGGGATGTGGGGGCCCTGTTTTCTGATGGATAGTCTCTGTGGATGGTAGTAAACTCCAGTGCAGTCCCCCCCAGACTTGTGGAGAGAGAATGTGTGTGTGTGTGTCTGTCCTGTCCCCCTGCCAACTCCCAGGCTGCGGCACCCCAGCTTTCTCTTTGCTAGCTGCTTCTCTAGCTTACTGTGTACTTAGACGTCACTGTTTCTTTGTATCCAAGGTCCTAGGTCTGTGTCCCACTGGCCTTAGCTGATGTCTCTTGTCACACTTAGACACCAGAGTTCCAGGCATTATCCATGACAGGGATTTTCAAAGCTGCCTGGCAGAGTTGGACATCCAGCACCCAGGGAATCTCTTAGGGAGTCCCGCACCCAAATCCCATTGACACCTTTCAAAATCCAAGCTGCTATATGGTGACCCCTTGTGGGGACACTTTCTGGCATCAGCCCACAGCACAACAGGTGTGCTCAGCCTCAGTTTCCCTTTTATTTGAAAGGAATGTAGCCCATCTGCCTCTGGGCAGAATGTCTTCCTATACACCCATGCTGTGACTCCTCCACAACCTTGCAAGTGAAACCTTTCTCCAGTGCCCACAGTGAACACACCCAGTCATTTCCCCCTCCCCCACCGCAGAATCAGTAGCAGCACTGTACTCCCACTTGCTTTGGCGCCTGCTCCAGGTCTCCCTGCCTGGGTATGACTACCCTTCCCTCAAGGCTTTGCCAAAGAGCTCCCCAGCTTTTCCCTAGGAGTCCCACCCCTGCTCAGGGGGATCCACCCTCTTGCTTCTGGGCTCAGCTCCCCCTGGCTAAGCTAGATCTTCCCCTTTTGCCTTGGGGCCACTTCCCAGGCCTTCTACCCATCAGGGTCCCTCTACCAACAATCCTGTTCCTGCTCCCACCCCAACTTAGCTCTCTCCACTGAGTCTCCTGTAGCTTTTTCCCCAAGCAACTCCTGCTACCCCATCACTGCTCCTCTGGGGCTCCTGCCCACCTCCAGTGCCTGATTCCTCTGCTGGCTCAGGGGGCCCTCTCTTAAGCCTAACTGGAAGGTGGCTGACACATCACAGGTGCACTGGACCCTAATCCTTCTTAAAGGGGACAGTCACCACACAAAGCCCCAAACCCTGAGCTAGCTAGATGGGCTGGGTTGGCCATTGGAAGGGTCTACTCTATAGCCCAGGAGAAGGGTTACAGGTTTGTATCACAGCTGGCTAATTAGGTGGCTATGTGCTCCACTGACTGATGCTGATGTTATGTGCGGCTCCGCCTAGGTGGCTCCAGCTATCAAGGAGCGGATGATGAAGAAAGGGTCCATGATGGTGGGCTACCAACCCCTTGGCAGCAAGGTCAACTTCTTCCGCCAGGTTGTCACAAATCCCATGGTCACCAAGCAGGATTTGGATTTCTTCCTGGATGAGATTGAGAGACTGGGCACAGATTTGTAGGGAGCCCAATAGACACAGCTGATTGCATAGGAGGAATGGCGGTTGTGGGGCAGTCCACATGGGCTGTGGAGATGCACCGAGCTGTGTGGAACTGGCACAAAGCTCCACCTGGGTTGCCTCCAAACAGGCTTTTCAAGTCAAACACGGTGCTCCTTTGTCATTCCTCCCCTGCCCTTAGCAGTGCTCTGGCCTAAGTATTCCTGATTCATTTACTTAAGCACATGTCAGTTCTTAATAAATGCTTGGTAAATGCTTCCCTCCCCCCCCCCGCATTTCATAAGCAGCACAGCAGGAAACATGGCTTTTGGTTTTAGATCCAAACCACTGCCACCTTTGTTAAATTGCCATACCAGCCCCAGTGCAAATTCTGCTTGCCCCCTCCCCCCCATATCGTATTCTACTTGCCTGCTAGCTAAAATGACTCACCTTGAATGGGTGGAAGTTTGCAAAACTGTCTTAAAGAGACCACCGGGCTCTTGGTGGGCTTGGAAGTTCACTGCTGCAAGAAGTCTTGCAACATTGCCTACTGCTCCAGAGAATCAGTAACACAATTCTGATGGAGGAGGCAGCATGGTCCAGTGGTTAGTGCACTGCCCTGGGACTCTATCTATTCCCAGCTCGCTTTCTGCACCTGTAAATGAGTCACTTCCCCTCCCCGAGCTTCAGTTTCCTTGTCTGTGAAATGAGGACAGTGAGACTGACCTGCTTTGAGATCCATGTACGCATTCTCAGCATTGTCTGAGAGTTCATAAGAACGGCCATACTGGGTCAGACCAATGGTCCACCTAGCCCAGTATCCGGTCTCCTAACAGCAGCCGGTGCCAGACACTTCAGAGGAAATGAACAGAACAGGGCAATTATTGAGTGATCCAGTCCCAGCTTGTGGCCATCAGAGGTTCAGGGACACCCAAAGCATGGGTTGCGTCCCAGACCATCTTGGCCAATAAGTTCATTGAGGATAGGTCCATTAATGGCTCTCGTATTCTTTTTGGACCCCAGTTATACTTTTGGCCTTCACAACATCCCCATCTTTTTGCCCCAGCTCCCAGCCTGCTTGCTATCCGCCCTCCTGTCTGCAGCCAGCTCACGGCCGTTCAGTCTTCTGCTTCTAGCCTTTTTGCCCCCATGCACCAGGCCAGGATCTCGGGGGGGGGAGGGGGGGGGGAGGAACGGGAGGGTACAGACCTCCTGCTGGCTGGATGTGGCACTGGCTGGTGTCCACACTCAACTTGGAGCCAGCAGGTTCATGCTGGCATTTTAACACGCTGAAGTGGGGGAACAGCGGCTTTGACTTGGCTCAAGGCCTCATCACCACTGGGCATTCAGAACATGCGGAGAGCTGGCGTTTGCTAGCGCTCCCCCCTTGGAGCCCAGCTCAGACAAGGCCACGGGGGCTGCTTGCTTGGACAGGAGCCAGGAGCTGCTCATGTTCCTGCTTTGGTATTGGGCACAGAGGCAGCGAACGGACCCGCATCACTCCCAACGCAGGGCCCAACCCGGCCCGTGCTGGCCTAATGAAGTGGCTTTGCTGCAGCAATGCTTGTGCAAACTGGCTGCAAATCAGGAGGACCTCCCTTGCCCCTCCCCGCCCAAGGAATACCACCAGTACACAGTGCGTTCCCCATGGGCACAGACCTGGCTCTGCACCCCAACCCCACAACATGCCCTGTTGTGGCAGGCAGGGGGACGTCCCAATAGTGGGAGAGGGTGTGGCCACAGTAGCCCAGCCCCCTGGCTATTCCCCGGCTGCCATAAGGCCAATAGGGACCATATACAACATAAACCTAACAGCAGAGCCCTGTACTGGACTATTTTTTAAATCCCGCCCCGCAATACCCACTCCCCCCAGCTCCCACCCACAAAAACTTTAGGTCCCGCAAATCCCACAAGAGAGAGACAGACTCCCCCAGCCTACTAACAAAACACAACCGTCGGTTAATATATTATATATAAAAATGGAATTCAGACAATTTTACCACTGAAAGAATAAAACAAAATTTGCTTAAACCGTATAAAAATAATACTTTAACTCCTAGAATAGACATCAAATCTCTTTCTATCCCTCGTTTAAATTGAGGTATCAAAACCTTTATTTAAAAAAAAAAAGCTTGCTTTACCTTGCTGAAATTCTATTTATGACACACTGCTGTCGTGTAGATCGCATATCACGTCAAAACAAATTACGCCAACACTTTCTCTTAAAAGATGCAGATTTTTTTTTTAATGATAAAAAGTTGTTTAAAGAAACTGGAATGTTTTACACCGTGCTAGCACCGGTTTGGGAAATTTGAAACAAACCATTCAAGTTACGTATAGATCAGGATTACTCTTGCTTTCTGAAAAACATTTAGCGGCAACACTGCTCACCGCTCTAGGTTTTTGATAGAAATTTTTAAAGAAGACTCAAGCTAAGTGATCGATAAGGTGGTCAATTTGAACAGCAGGTGCAGCTAAACTTGCATTTTGTTTTCCTGCAAATTACCGCAGTCTGCTTTTTTGCCCACCCAATCCCATCTGAAACAAAGTACATTTTACCTGCTCCCGCTGTGATGACAGTGGGTCCTGCGGTATCCCAGTCCCGCTGCAGAGCTCTAGCTATTATTAGTCTGTCCTGGCCAGCAGCGTAGCCAAGTGGCCCCAGAGCAAGACAGCTTCCTGCCCCTCTTGCAGGGCTCTGCATCGGGGCTGGGATAAAATCCAACTACGTGGGGTTGAGCTGTGATTATAATCAGTGAGAAGCAGGGCCTGAGCTGCGCTGGCTTTGAGAAAGTTTATTTCTTTGCAAGTATAAAAAGGCTTCAATTGTGCTTCTTGGTAAAAACGGTCTTTAAAAAAGAGCTGCCTAGATGAGACCCCAAGGAGAGATCGGGGGAGTGGATCCCCCAGGTTCTTCTTCGAGTGATGTGCCTGTGAGTGGGCAAAGGGTCTCCCACTTTATAGCTGTCCCAGATCACAGGTGTCTCCTCCCTCTCCATCTGCCCCCACTCTTGAATCCATTCTCTGGGGCTATCCTGGGCCCCCTACTTGGACTGACCCACCCCAGCTAGCAATTGGTGGCAGGCTGGATGGGGGAAGCAGCCAGACACATCTCTGGGGCCTGACTCAGTGGCACTTGAGGCTGCTGGCAGTGAAAGTGGCTTTAAAGGAGGTACATCTGGCACCCTGAGCAACCACCCACCTCAAGGGCCTCTCTGGCTGAGGTAAAGTAATGGGAGCTGCTAGACACTGAGCTCTTTGGAGAATCTGGCCATGTTTTCCCCACTGCACATGTAGGTAAACTGAGGCATGGGGCAGGACAGAGGCCAGCATTTTTCAAAGTGGCCACTGATTCCTCGGTGCCACCCATGGCCTGGTTTCCGAGCACCCTCCACTCCAGCTAAGATCAGTGGGAGTGGTGGGTGCTCGGCCTCTCTGCAAGCCAGGCCCTGGGGGGTCTTAAATCAGACACCCCAAAACTAAAGCGCCACTGTCAAGGCCACTCCATCCCCTGGACCAGGGGTTCTCAACCTTTTTCTTTCTGAATGCCCCCCCACCCTCCCAATGTTATAAAAACTCCATGGCCCACCAGGGCCACAACTGTTTATCTGCATATAAAAGCCAAGGCTGGCATTAGAAGGTAGCAAGCAGGGCAACTTGCCAGGGTCCCACACCAACCTACATTGCTCAGACTTCGGCTTCAGCCCCGGAGGCGGGGCTCAGGGCCCCAGGCTTCAGCCCCGGACGCAGGGCTCAGGGCCCCAGGCTTCAGCCCTGCACAGCAGGGCTTCGGCTTCCTGCCCTGGGCCCCAGAGTGGCTAACACTGGCCCTGCTCGCGGACCCTTGGTTGAGAACCGCTGCCCTGGACTAAGCCCCCCAGATCTCCTTAGGCCCTGCCTGTGTCCCGGAGGCAGTCGAGGTCCTCGGGCTGGAGGGGCACCCCGTCCTGGGAGAGGATGGAGAGAAGGCAGATGACAGTGGCCTCCTGCCTCGCTCGTTTCCTCCACTCCAAGAACATGCTGAAAGCTCGCAGTTTGGTGTTGCCGGGATTGTTCTCCTCGATCTGCTCCAGACAGTGATTCTCCAGGCCCAGAAACTCGATGCCGATCTGCTTCCAGGACTTGCCCATTTTCCCTGCCAGCTGCATCAGCTGCTGCTCTGAAACCAGACTCTGCCTCTCTGGGAAAGAGGGGAGAAGAGTCAGCCAGGAGAGGCTGGGGCTGGCATAGCTGGGAGCACCCCCAAAACCAGTGCTCCTGTTCTGCTCTCTACAGCGCCCCCAGTGGGTGAGGCTGGGACTGGAGTAGCCAGGAGCTTCCTCAACAGCCAGTGCTCCTGCCCCACTCCCTACAGCACCCCCGGCTGGGAGATGCCAGAGCTGGAGCAGCCGGATGTGTCACCCACAGCCAGTACTCAAATTACAGGGGTCTTCAGAGGGGATTGGGCCCCCTTACTAATTTTAGGGGCTGCCTCACTGCTGTCTTACGGACCCCTTAGTTCTCACTACTATTTAAATTAAAGCAAGCCACTTGGTATTCAGGGCCACTCCTATTCTCCACATCATTGGAGCTCGGGCTGCTGCCTTTCCCCTACAGTGCCCCCTGCTGGGAGAGGCCGGGAACAAAGAAGCTGGGAGCTCTCCATGCCTGTCACTGAACCACCCTGCTCTGTGGCTGTGCTCCTTACCGTAGGCCTGCAGCTCACTTGCCCTGGCGCCGCTATTCACAGCCTCACTGCGATTTGCATCATCGCCACTGTTCCCAGCATCTCCTCCTGTCTGGAGCTGGTGGCCCTGGACCAGGTCCAGCCTTGGGATATTGCACAGCACCTGGTTGGTGATGTCTAGCGCTTCCTGGGGGTATGTCTGCATCAGCAGCTCAGCCACCTGGATGCGGGAGGCGCCGTCCAGCTTCCCGCGGCGTACGCGGGGAGCCATGCCCCCATGGAGCAGGTAAAACTTGAACTTCTTGAACTCCTCCTCTCCCAGATCCTCCAGGATGTGCAGCACCTGCTCACCCATCTCCATCCTGGCACCTCACCCTGGAGCCCCCCGAAAGGCAGACCTGCAGGGCCTGAAAACAAAGCAGCCAGGTGATTTGGGGTGACTGGGTGGAAAAGCCTCTGTTCAGCCTCTTCAGGGGACCTGCTCTCTGAATGCCCCCTCCTCACTCCATCCCTTAGACTCTGGGGTCCCCCTTTCAAAATTCCTCTGAACTCCAGGATTCGCTGTCAGTTGAACCACAGAACCCAAGTGTTTCTGAGGGGAGGCCCCAGTGCCCAGGCAGCTAGGCTGAGCAGGGAAGGGTCACCTCACAGCACAGAGGGTTTCCCCAGCCTACCCCAAAAGGTCCCTGCTGTCTCAGCAGCATGCCCACCCTGCAGCCCCTGGCCGCTCCCAAAGCTAGTGAGTTCTGCAGGTTTCGGTGAGAGATGCCTTTTTCTGCAAAACAGCACCAGGGTCTTGCAGACAGACAGCATGGCTAGGACTCAGGACACCTGGGTTCTATTCCCAGCTCTGCTGGTGACCTTGAGCAAGTCACATGGCCTGCTCTATGCCTCAGTTTCCCTTCCCCACCTTTTGTCTGTTTAGACTGCAAGCTCTTCGGGGCACGGCCTGTCTGTGCAGCGCCTGGCACGATGGGGCCCTGGAAGATTATTCAGTGTGGAAATCCGGAGCCACCTGGTTTTCCCTGGGTGGCATCTGCTCTCAGTAGTAACACGATTTTGGGGGGGAAGGAGGGGGTTGGGGAAATGGGTATTTCAGGGGTGGAAGGAGCTAGCGTGACAGGGCTAAAGGCCGCTCCCAATGGGGCAAGACGGGTAGCGGAGCCCTGGCTGTCCACACACACGCACACTCAGACACCACAACCACTGTGCTGCACCCCAGAGCCAGGAGCCCCAGCCCTCCCACCTCGCTCCCAGTCAGCCCAGGCCTCCCCAGCTGGGAAGCCAGCCAGGGGCCCAGGTCGCCCCACGGGCGGGTGGCACTTTGTGTGGGGGACACTCCCAGGCTGCCCTGAGCCCCCCGATACAGGGCACCCGGAGCCGGGGGCCGGGCCTGCCGGGGTAGGTCCCCATCCTACCCAGGGTTTACAGTTTGGCCCCATGGCCCTCAGCCCCCCCCCGGTTACAAACTGTCCCAGCGCCCCCCGATGGCGCCTCCCCCGCCCCGAGGTGCGGACGCTCTTCCAGCTCCTCCCGCCCCTCCCGGCTGGAGAGGCCCCGGGGGCCGTTAGCTTCCGGGGGGAGGGGGGGAGGGGAAGGAATCGCAGCCCCCAGTTCCGACCCACCTCGGAGCCCCTCTAGGGCGGAGCCCGGCTCCGCTCCGCGCCTTCCGCAGCGCGAGGCGGGATGACGTCTTCCCCATCGCGGCGCAGGCGCAGTACGCGCGCGGAGGGGGGGGCGGGGTCCGAACCCTTTCCGGGAGCGCGGCGCGCGGCGGCGGCAGCAGGAAATAAATATATAAATAAATAAATAAAAGGAGGAAGCGGAAGCAGCCCCCCCCCCCTCCGCCCGGCTCCTCGCGCGCGCGCGCGGAACCCCGGATCCGCCCCGCCCACTCCGGGGGCGCCCGGTTCGCAGCCCTGGGGGCGGCGCTGAGTGCGGGCGAGGGGCCCGGAGCCGCCCCGCGGGGCCGGGGCTGAGGAGCGGATGGGGCGGAGGTGTGCCCTGGTCCCTCGGGCTCCCAGCCAACCGGCCCTTGGGCCCCCTGCCCCGGCGGGGGTCTCTGAACTTCCTCGGGGTCCGGGCTTCATGGATCGCATTATCCCCCTGGCAGAGCTCGACGCCCTTTACAGGCGGGGAGGAGTGACTCCTTCCCGCCCCCACCAGAGCTCAAGCAGTCCTGTCACCCCTCTGTCCGACAGCTGGGGAAACTGAGGCACGGTTTGACCCCCCCCCCCATCAGAGCGTCCCGACTCTCCCACCCGGAGCAGGGCTGGGCAGGGAAGGGCGGCTGCTGATAGGGTATCTGGCAGGCAGCGAGTCCCACTCTAAGACAAGGAGGAGTACTTGTGCACCTACCCCTCTGAAACCTATAGACAATTTACAAAAATGCGGCAAAAAGAACAGGAGGACTTGTGGCACCTCAGAGACGAACCAATTTATTTGAGCATCAGCTTTCGTGAGCTACAGCCCACTTCATGGGATGCGTGTCTGAGGAAGTGAGCTGTAGCTCACGAAAGCTTATGCTGAAATAAATGTGTTCGTCTCTAACGTGCCACAAGTCCTCCTGTTCTTTTTGGGGATACAGACTTACACAGCTGCTCCTCTGAAAAATGCTGCAGGAGATCTACATGTCCCCGAAGAAGAGCTCTGTGGAGCTCAAAAGCGTGTCTCTTCCACCAACAGAAGTTGGTCCAGTAAAAGATTGCTTCACCCACCTTGTCTCGCATATTCTGGGACCAACATGGCTACAACAACCCTGCAAAGATGCTGTCTTGAAGTTTTGCTTTTAATTCATGTCACGTCGCTCCCTTTATGGGGGAATTCTTACTACAGGGACGAGGCATCTGGCTTGCTAGATGAATGGAAATTTGCCCCACAGAAACTCTTATTTTTCAAATAGAAACCATCGCCGTTTGTTAGGGCTGCTCGCCCATCACTGAGCATTTCCTGCGAGAAATTCAGAAGGAAATGAAACTTTTTTTTCACTTTGTTTCAAAATATTTTGTGGAAACATTGGATTTTTGCAATGAAACATGCATGTTTAGTGTTCTTTCCCCCTCTGTTCTCCTCTCTGAAAGGAAGGAAATGGGGGTTGGGAAAGAGAGAGAAAGGGAAGGAGAGGAAGCAGACAAAAAAGTATTTCAAATTGATGAAAGATTGAAAAATTTGCAAAGTAAAATGTCCACCAAAATTGTTTGCATGGTTCAAAAAGCTACTTCTCACTGAAAATACTTTTAATGGAAACAATTTGATCAGTTCTGCTATCAATATTAATACGACTGACACACACGTTCTCTCTCTCCCTACCCACCCCATTCATAAACAGCTTATCTTTGTTGACATGCAAAAGTTGTACCGTTTCGGCTATACCCATATAGTTAAAGCAGCACAGGCTCCCTCCCTGGTGTGGATGCAGTTATATTGGTATAAGAATGCCTATAATAATATCCAGCTTTTATAGAGCACTTTTCATCAGTAGTTCTTCAAGTGCTTTACAAAGGAGAGCCCTATCATTATCCCTGTTTTACAGATGGGGAAACTGAGGCACAGGAAGGCTAAGTGACTTGCTCAAGGTCACCCAGTGGTAGAGCTGGGAATCAGAACCCAGGTCTTCTGAGGCCTGCTTCAACCCTCAATCCACTCGGCCACACTGCAAGGGGAAGTAGCTATGCTGGTATAAGGCAATACCAATAAAGGAATCCACACTCCTACTGGACACCGTTCTCCTGGGACAATGTCCCTGGAGCAGCATGGCTGGGAGCTGCTGGGAGCAAAGCCTGGCCCTGTGAGTGAGCCGATGGCCGCAGGGTCCCCTTGATGCACTGCACAGGTACAGTAGCGCTAAAACTGTACCCTGCTCAGTAGGAGGTGCCACCCCAGGCAGACAGGTCCCAACTGGCAGCCAGCTGGGGCTGGAGTTCATGGCAGCTTGCCCTGTTAGTGAAGCCAAAGGGCTGGGCTCTGTCCTTTCATGGTGCAGATGTGGTTTTGTGCTCACAAACCCTTTGATCTACCCCAAGTGCTGCGCTGCCCTGTCGATTAACCTGCTGGCCTAGAGGATTGTGTCAATTGCTTGGGGGGTGGGGAGTGTGAATGGAGGAACCGTGCCTGGTGTCAGGATCGGCACCCAGTGATTGAGACAATGCCAGAGTCTGGGTCTTATCCAGAGGTGGAGCAGTAACCTGTTGAACCAGGCACGTTTGTGTGTGTGTGCAGAATTCTAGTGTGGCCTTTTCCCCCATAGGAGTGGATGGAAAAGAGTCCAGCTGCCGGGCATGAACCCAGGGCTGAGGCATGGGACGGCCCCTGCTGTTACTCTGGCCCATCCACAGACTGCACAGGGCTGTCTCAGTACAAGAATGTCCAGTGTAGCTCGCTGGTGCATGGCTGGGTTGGCAGCTGCTCCTCACCCCACCCCAGGTCTCTCCAGAGAGCCAGGCCCACTGGCAATGCCCTCTTGCCCAAAGCCTCCCTGGGGAAGCGACAGAAGGCCCGGCCTCGCTGGGGAAACGTGATCCAGCCCGATCCACTTGGGACATGCTGAGCAAGAAAGGAGCCAAAGGGGCGGAGACGGGCACGTGCAGCTCCTCCATGCATCCTGGCAGCAGGAGCTCTCGGTAGCTGGGGTGTCCGGCAGGCCTGGGTGCAGCTGAGTGTCCTCCTGGTGCGATGGGGAAGACGGTATCCAAAGGGGCCCCTAGCTGCGGCAGGACCAGGAGCGTGGCGTCACCAGCCCCCAGAACGTATTCTGTTGAGAACCCCCCCGGAAATCCAGTTAGTGACAGAACTGGGCCCTCGCTGCCCTGGGGGGTAATGGACTTGGGGCCAGGCCAGAGGGAGGGGGACACTACCAACTGACTGAGCCAGAGGGAGAGGCCTGAGGCATGGGCACAGCCTAGCAGGGAGGGCCAACACCCCTCGCTGCTGGGCGAGAGCGACAGGCTGTGACCCAGGGGCCTAGAGGAGAAGGGGACCCTAGTACTCTAGGGAGATAAGTGACCCGCGATGAGGCTCGGGGGTGTCTGGCACGGCAGCTGGGTGAGATCTGCCCCCTGTGACCGAGACCAGCCTCCGGGCCGGGTGCCCTCACCTGCTCGAGCGGGCAGTGGATCTGGGCATACCACTCCTGGCAGTACAAGCACACCTGGATGCCCTGGCCGATGAAGAGGCAGGTCCACATGATGATGTTCCAGATCGGGCTCTTCCGCTTGTCGTTCAGCAGGAAGTTGAAGATCACTGAGGGGAGAGCCAAGGGGGAGGCCGGGCAGCGACTGCCCCATCCCACGCACCTCCTGTCCCCACCCCACTGGGCTCCCCCCGTCTCTGCTGAGTGACCCCGTAGCCTTGTGAACTGGGCCGAGACCCACTCAATCCTCTCCCATCTATGCTTCATTGGCCACTACTGTGGGCTGGCGTGGGGCTGGCGAAGGCGCTCTCCATTTGCCCCCTTTTCGCCCTGGGAACCGAGAAGCCGGGCACTAGGCGGCGCTCACCTCCAATGATGGCAAAGAGGGTGAACATGACGGGGTAGAAGAAGCCAAAGCAGAGGGTGATGACGTATTCGTGGACGATGGCGGACATGATGAAGACTGACAGCATGGCTGCGACCCGGGACCTCCCTCTGAAGAGCTGGAAGGCAGGGAGAAGGCACTGAACCAAGGAGCCACAAGGAGCAAGGTCCCAGACCCCAGCTCCCCCCAGGCCGATGGCCCATCCCATTACTAACCCTCGCCCTGCCAGGAACGTGTCTAGTGCCACGCCACCCTTATGGTGAGACCCCCCCTCCTTGTCCTTCCCCCAGCTCCGCACCATCCTGGCATAGATCCTTTCCTCTGCATGAGACCACCCCGCAGCAGGGAGCTGGATCCAGAGGAGGGAGCCTCACTGTGTCCCCTCCCTGCATCTACCTCCCCAGCCCAGGACCATTTCTGGCTGCTCGCCTGGCACCCTGAGCTGGACGGAGAGCAGCGAGGATCCTTTCAGAGCCCAAAGCCCCCTTGCATCATCAGCAGTTCCCGTTTCATTGAGTCCAAGGGCATCATCCTCACTGCCTGGGCTGGCGAGCGCCCCCTCCATCAGGGCCGCTGGCCTGGGCCAGGGAGCCAGAGCTGGGCTATGGTCATCTGCAGAGCCCCCTGACCGAACAAGGCTCCAAGCGCCACCCGCACCCCTGCCAGGTGCCGCAGTGACAGCCACAATGTCCAACCGGCACCAGGGCCACATACCCAGAACAGGTCCTGGTAGACATAGTAGTAAAGCCAGTCGTGAACCACCACGTTCCACGTCCGGTAGTAGGTGGCGAAGGACGTGGAGTTCCACCAGTCCTGGGCACGCATGCAGGGAGAGGGACGAGGGAGAGAGGGGAGTGAGCCCGGGCCGAG